TCCCCTTTTTAAAGATGGGGGTTGTCTGTGTAACGTTGAAAGAACATTGCCAGATACTGTTTTTACTTCTTTCCATATCCTGGTACTTGGCCTTATCGTATTGAGTCCTGTGTTTGAGTAAACCATGAATTAGAAAAGTAGAGTACTGGTTACTTCACATATCTGGTAGTCCACTGGTTTCCTGAGTATGTTCCTTCATTAATTTTCATCTTAGCCTATCCATAGCGACAATAACTTGCTTTATTTTTTTAATAGCAAAAAAAATTACATGAGACATGTCAGATGGATTTTTTTGAGTTATTTCTTCTGTAACATTAAGAGAGAACATTGGAGAAAATTTTCCTTCATTACTACTTGTGTATCATTCTCTTTTTGCACCAAAGGTGAAATTGAATGAAGCAGAAGAAAAACACAAAGCAATACAAGACAAGTTGTTAACGATAAGCGAAGAAGCACAAGCCCTGCATCCTCAGTGTATTTCTTTGAAAGCTGATGTGCAGGCAAGAAGGAAAGCAGTCAATGAAGCTGAGGTAGGCAAAAAGCACTTTCAAAGTTCATATTAATTTAAACCTTAAACTTTGTCCATGCTCTACCCATATGTACCTCTCCATCTGTGTCTAGGCTTTCTCCATAGTACAGGTCAAAACAGGTGCAGTTTTCTGTCTGACTTGCAAGTAGTTTCTGTGCAGGGACATAGGGTTTCTGTCTTTACACAGTGTTAAGATTAGGTCAAAATACAAATGATTCAAGTTAACTGTCTTATTCCTTCTTTTTCACATTCTTCAAATTAAAATTATGTTTGTTTTGATGCAATTCAGTGTTTATTTACTAAAAACTAGTTCTTTTTGAAATTATGTCATGCTTCTACTTATTAAACTGGTATATCCTGTTTCCTTCAATAGGTGCTTTATAATCGTTTCAAAACTGAGTTAAAACGTCTGGGAAAAGATGATGAGCAGCTACGTAAACGAATCGAAGAACTGAAAAGCAGGTAAACACAGATGTAGTGATTACGGTGTATGTTATTAAGGTACAGATATGCAGGGAGTGAGCTCTTCTGATTACTCAGAAAATCTGCAGTAACAGAAAATATTTATCTACAGTTTAGCAGGGTTCAGTTAAATATTTAAATATTTCTGATCGTGCTTCTTTGCATACCAAGATTTTGACTAGAAAACAATGAGGTAGTTGGGCAGAAAAAAAGCTTTTCTACCGGTGATAATCTATATTTCCCATCTTCCATGGTGCTGCAAAAGAAATACACCTTAAATTAAATGTAATAAGAACGTAACTGGGGAGTTATGTGAGTTGACAAATGAAAGAAATTTGTTATTCTTGCTTTGTAGATCTTGTAAATGCACAGCATCTTAAATATAACTTTCTGATGCATAAATCTTTTGTATGATAAAGGTAATAAACCACAGTTCATGTCACTTATAAATCATGTGTGGTTTTAAAATATTGAAATGTAATCTTTTCTAGTGCTAATCAGGTTTCAGAGCCTGAAAAATTGGAAAGACAAAAGAAAATAGCACACTTAAGGGAACAGTTGAAGGCATTCCATGATGAAGAAATAATGATTGGTCAACAGGTGGATCAATTTCAGCAAGCTGTATGTAAGTGTAAAGAAGAATATGCTAGACTAAGGTAAGCTATGCTTTTTGCATCTCAGTTTTACTTTGTTTCAAGTTATAAGAGGTTCCTTCCTATGTACCTGCATTCCCTGAAGTGTTAGGCTTCCATTTCCTTTTTTATTTTTTGCCTTGTTTGTTTTAGGACTTGCTAAACTTTTGTCTTTGGCATAATGTGACTTAATTTAGAAGCTTCTGGAAAATTAAGAAAACTGTTGTGTCGTGAAAGGTATTACTAACTTGATGCCTGATATAAATCCATACTGTCATTTTAATGCCCTTCTTCCTCCTACCATTTTTCCTTGATTGTCTTCTCATCCTATGGTATGATTTAATTTTTTTCATGTTTAATACACTAGTACATTCCGTTGTGATGTCACAAGATACATAACACGATATAAGAAAATAGATACACTTAGAGGTAATTATTGAATTGATATTTAAAGGCAAATTTATGGAGACTTTGAAGCAAGTGGTTCAAATATCAATTTAGCCCATACCCAAACTAACAAAAAAAGCACTCTTTTGGCATTGATTTGGAAACCTGAACTTATCAATGATTACTGGAGGGAAATATGATGATGCTGTCATTTATTGTCTTAAGAGATTTGAGAATTGTTTGTTTCAATTGACGTATTAGTTTAAAGGTCTTTTATTAAAGGTCTGGTTTCAATCTCCCCGTCCCTCCCCCATGGCAGGGAGGTTGGAACTAGATGATCTTTAAGGTCCCTTCCAACCCAAACCGTTCTGTGATTCTGCAATTAATTGTAACCTACAGTTACTTTGTGTTCTGTTGAAGACCTTTGTAGAAGACAGTGAAATTGAAGGATATAATTAGAAATGAAATAAATATATAATAAATCTGTTTAAAAAAGCCTTCAAATTGTTTCAAAGTAGTAATTCTTTTTCTTGCTTTTTTGTCTTATGTTTCTTGAAACTAGAAAAATATTGTTGCATGTGTGTAGCTAGGTGTACGTTGAAGTATTGGGGTCTTGATATAATAGTACACTAATAGACTGATAGTACACTGTCCTATTAGTACCTGAAATATCATAGAATCATAGAATGGTGACACTCTGTAACTATTTTAATAAAATTAAGTCTTTCTAAGCTGTCGCAACTGAGGAAAAAAATCTGTTCTCTTAGGAGAGAAGACTGTGATGTGAAAAAAGCACTGGATGCCAAGCAGAAACATCTGAGAGAGCTGAAAGATAGTAAAACAAATACCTTGAAAAGGTTTGGGCCACATATACCAGCCTTTCTTGAAGCAGTTGAAAAAGCCTATAGGCAAGGGCACTTTAAGCACAAACCCGTCGGACCTTTAGGTAGGAATGACTGACTGCTGAAAAAGTCTTTGGAATATTTCCTTGTGGGATTTATTGCATGGCTGCTAATGTAAACAGTGATCTTTTAGAAAAACTATTTGTTCTTTAGGAGCTTCAGGTATATCTTTCTTCTGTACTTTGTGGACTAAAGGTTTTATCCTGGTAGGTTCTTTTGCTTCTGCCCTTTTTATCACATAAACTAGCTAACATCTACTGTTTTTTCCTCATTTTCCAGCTGTTTTTGTTAAGGTATTTTATGTAGTTACAGTGGTAAACTTTCAGTGCACCCTTCCAGCTCCCCCACACCCTCTAAACATCAGACTCGATGCTTTGGCTGCTTGTTCCTTGGTGGAGAGCACTGTCCAGCTCCTGGACAGTATTTGTTCAAAATGTCCAGTGGCTGACTGGTGGGCTTGTCAAACTTGGTGTTTGGCATGGAACAACTTGGACAGAACCAGTTGAGATTTTCCTGAGCGGTTGGGTTTCATTAATTTTTTGACAAGCTCCGACAGTGAACGCTATTTTCAGTTTGTAAACGGGAGTAATGCCTTCAGCGTTTTCTGGATGTAAGTGCCAAGGGTAAGAACATGCAAACACATATGCTGCTGACGACAGGTGATATAATGGAAATCTTTGTTGAACTTGCAGCATAATTACTGCTCAGACTTCACCCTTAAAGCTTTAAATTGCCTTGATATAATTCTGCTGAGCTGCCATAACACTGGTACTTTAATGGAAGTTAGTAGTGACCTGTCAAAGATCCTGGAATTAAATGTACACCTCCAAATACGTATGGTGTCTGCAATAAGAGAAGTTAGATATATGTGTTTTCAGGGTAACTTGTCTGTTGTACAGTTTTTTATCTTTTTTTTTTTTTTTTCATGTAGGAAAGGCTTATTTTAGACTTTTAGTAAAACCCATATCACAACAAAACCTTGAGTGGTAAAAATGCAGTACTGGATGTTTTGTTATGGAACACAGCTCCTAAAGCCTTGTCTCTCATGTTTGTTTAGGTGCTTTCATTCATCCGAAAGATCCTGAACTGACCTTAGCTATCGAATCTTGTTTGAAGAGTCTGGTTCAGGCATTTTGCTGTGATAATCATAATGATGAAAGAACTCTTCAGCAGCTAATGTCAAAACATTATCCACGTGGATTTAGACCTCAAATAATTGTCAATAAATTTCAGAATAAAGTTTATGATGTTAGACACAGGTAAGTTTTTATGTTTTGATTTTTATTGCTTAGCCTTGATGTTTCAAGTAATTATTAGTTGAAAAGAACTTTTTTTTTTAAGAATCTCATGTGAAATTTATGAATGGTGGTTTTTCTTCTCTTCTTCAGAGGAGTTCATCATCCAAAATTCCCATCGGTTCTTACAGCATTGGAAATAGATCATACAGTGGTTGCCAATTGTTTGATCGATGTGAGGGGTATAGAAACAGTCCTGCTGATTAAAGTAAGGCTCTATGCTCCCTATTGATCTTTATATAAAAAAAAAAGGCAAGCTTTTTCTTTTTGTGTGGATCCAGTTTTGTGCAGTCCAGGTGGTACCAAAATCTGCAACCAGCCCCTACCGGTTGTACCTAGCAGCTGGTAGGTAGGTACCAGTTGTAGCTGTAGCAGCCTTGTGCCTCAGGGTTCAAAAGTTCCTTTTCAGATACTCAGCTGCCCACTCTGACATGAAATTACCAGCTGCCTGTTAGCATTCACAGCCTAATTCTGTTGTTCTCCTACCTCAACAACCAGAGCCCTGCTGGACTCTGCAGTGCCAAAGCAGTTGAGATGAGGCGGTGCAAAGAAACACGGTTGTGCAGAGAGTCTGGTAAAATAAGGAAATAGCAATAAATCAGTTACTAAGTAGGATTTGACTAGCAACTGGCATTGAATTAAGATCACATATTTTGATAACAATCTATTTTTTTGATCACCATTAAAACATGTTGAACTGTTAAAACATGTTAATGAACTGTCTCTGCCGTTACATGGTTTCTGATCTTAATTGATTTTTTTCTGTTACTACTGAAGATGAGATAAAAGTCAAAGGTTCAAGGATAAAAATAAGTTCTTTAAATAGAATTATATACAAAGCAGGGTACTTTATGAGTAGAAAAACTAATGAAGCTTACTTCTGTTTTTCTCCAAAACCACTCATCTCAGTTTTGTCCTCTG